CCCTTTGTTATCGCTTTGATCATTTCTCATTAATTTCATATAACCTGTGGTTTTAAAATTTTTATTTTTTATTAATTTTATTGAGAAACAAATAGCAATGAGACGGTTTCAAAACCAGTTAGTAGGACAGTGTAAGTAATTAATACAGGGGCTGGGGAGATAGCTTATTTAAATAAGTGCTTGCCTGGCAAGTGCAAGGGCCTGAGTTCAATCCCTGGTTCTGCCAAAAAAAGAAATAATAATAATATGTTGCATATTGTTGTTTTTGTAGTGGGTATTCATAGTATAAGATGCAGACATGATATCCTGTCCAAACACTATTAGTACAAATTTTTCTTCTCATTGAATTAAGAGAAATTTCAATCCTATAGAGTATTTCTCTCCTATAACCTGTGATTTGTTGCCTTTTAATAGGTAGACAAAAGTGAAACCCTATAGATCAGTGATGGCCATCTATAGCATGGGTGCCACAGTGAGCAGTTTGTCATCATTGAAAGCCCTAAAAGATTCATCATCCTTCCTCTAGACAGAAGTGCAATATTCCTATTACTGCAATTTACTTTAAAAACCCAAGTGTCTTAAAGATCTTTTTATGCAAATGATATTGACCTTGAAAAGTGCAAAGACACTTAATAAATATCTGCAAAATAAATTTCAGATTTTAATCTCTTTTCACACAAGACACACATTTCCTTTTCCTTTTTTTTTTTTTTTTTTTTGGCAGAATTGCGGATTGAACTCAGGCCCTTGTGCTTGCCAGGCAAGTGCTGATTCTACTGAGCTGTCTCCCTGGCCCCACATTTTATTTTCTGTTTAGTTTTCAACTAATAGAAGCATTTCTTTCTCTTACTATATAGATGATAAAATATATCCTCTCCTTTTGGTTATTATTAATCAATAATATTTTTTTACTAAATATCAATAAAATGTATGCATCATGTATGCCTGTGTTGTGTGGTGTCATTTTACTGGATGACTTTTCACACTTAAGCACCAGGTTCTCACTTATTCTTGGGTATGCTGCATACGTTCCTAAGTTTTTCATTATTCCTTAGTATTTCTTCAACTTCCACATATATCAGCTCTACCTGGGAGTTTTATTACAACTCTTTTTTTTTAAACAACTCTTATTGCTGTACCTCATCTGCCGGTGTTTCTGTTTCCAAGGTCTGGAACAGAGTCCAAGCATTTCCATTTCTAGCAACAGTCCACATGCTGATGCTATGAGCACTACTGAGGCACATGCTGTCCTGTAATGCTTCAATGCTTCACACCTCATACAGTGTCTAGCTCGCATCTCAGCACTCACTGACCATAAAAACCACAGACTGATGAGGGGGTGGGAAAGGGTCATTGCGGTTAAGCAGGGATGGAGTCTGAATGCCCTTCTGGAATCTAGCTGGTAGGAACTTCTATAATGCAGAACTGATGAGAACAGTAGTCCTGCTGACAGCTCAGATTTCAATTAAGGGACAGTTTTCACATATACAAAGGGTAGAATGAGCTATTGTTTTTCCTGTTATTCTCTGTATTGTCGTATGCATTGAAAATTGCAATCTATAACAGGCATGATGTCTTTGAATGAGAGATGGCATTATATTGTCACTGATATTCCACTGTATCGAGAAAACAATTATTTATATCCTTCCCATCATGATGAGAGCTCAGCCAAGTAAAATTCCAGACATTAAGTCAGCTGATGCATCCAGTCTAATATTTGTAACTGTTTCATCATTTCTATGGATTCAATACTGACATGATTTGCTTATAAAGCAATGGGATCCAATACTAAGCACATCACATATAGAACTGATTGCCTAAAACACAACTGTATTGTACCTACATAAAGCTTATATAAGGCAGTATTTGTGCTTAAGAATGAAGGAGATGTAATCATAGTTTTAAGAATTGAATTTCTTAGATAAATTGTAATTCCTGTCAAAAGTTGCATGTTTATATATTGATACAACTTTTCTCTGTTGATATATAATCAGTGCAGTCTGAGTCAGGAAAGTGCATTGACTTGATCAGTATATTTCACCATGCTTCTTTGGTGGGAATATTTGTGTGAAGAAACTTTGCCCTTTATAGAAATAGAATTAAAAGAATGCTTGCATATTTTAACAATTAGCTTTTCCTAAGCATGCATGTATTCATAAAGAATATGTACTGATTTTACAAAGTGTTTGCTTAAACTTTATAAAAATGATATTACGATGATGTATATCATTGAACTGCCTTTCATCCCCAAAAAATTTGTTTTGACTTTTGCATAATATACTATTTAATATTCAGTCAAGGTTATTATCCTATGTTGGACACTTAGGTTGTTTCCGCTTTGTGTATGAGAGAGAGAGACAGACAGACGGAGAGACAGAGACAGAGAGAGGGAGGGGGAGAGGGAAAGAAAGGTGGAAAAGAGGGAGACAGAGGGAGGGAGGGAGAGAAAGGGGAAAGGAAAGCAAGAGAGCAAAAGCGAGAGAGCAAGAGAGTCAGAGAGTCAAATCCAGGGCCTCTTTCATGACAAAGAAGTGCTCTACTACTGACCTGTGCTCCAGGGTTCATTTTCAATTTTGAGTGCCAGAATCCTTCAGTGATCCTTCCTATTCTGTATCACCTTGAGCAAATACAACATATAGTCTAGAAGTGAAATTTAGTAATATGTAGACATTAGGCTTTGTCAGATAGTGTTGAATTGCTTTCCAAACTTGTACCAAATCATAGCACTGTTGATATTGTATAAAGGTTTTCGTCTCATTTTTCCCCCAATACTAATAATGCAAGAGTTTTAAAGATTTGGCCATCCTAGGAAAGTGTAAATTTGTGTTTCATTGTGGTCTTATGGGAAATACTTAATTACTAACACAGCTAGCAGGTGAATTTTTGTTCTTTCCATTTTTTAATTTGGGCTTTCCATTTCTCTGAGCTAATTATATCTTTTGCCAATTTTCCTATGCTTTTGTCTCTTATTGATTGTAGGTCTCAATGTAATCTATATACTATTCTTATTTTTTGTTGTATATTTTGGAAATATTTTCTCTAGTCTGTGGATTGTCTTTTATTTGATAGTGCAGAAGTTTTTAATTGTGATGTAAAAATATTATCTTTTTTTTCCTTAAAGTTAGTATATCATTTTCTCTATTTATTTTGTCCCAGTCCAATGTGTTCAGAAAACTTTAAAAGTCTGTTGTTTACATTATACCATTATGTAAAATTATTATATGTGCTGTAGGTAGCACTTGTATTTTTCATGTGCATTATTAATGGTACCAGCATCATTTATTGAATAATATGTCCTGTCTTTACTAATTTGTATATTTGGATCTATATGAGTTTTTCTATTACATTCTGGTATTCTCTTGATTTATTTCTGAGATAATTTAAAAAATGAAGTTTTACTTTTCTGTGAATTTAAGATACCATACTTCAGAACATTTTCATGCCTTGTGCGGTTTGAACTGGACACACAATACTTGGTGGACATCAGTTTGGACACAGAAATTGGGCTAGGATGACAGCCATATGGAGCACACCTAGTGTTTCCAGTTCTGTGCCTTCTGGGGAATAATTAGATTGCGCTTCCTATTCTCTTCACATTTAGACAAAGCCAGGTGGCCTATTTGTTAACAAGATGAAGCTCCGAGCCCTAGCAGCATGGGCACATAAAGATAGACTTTCCCTCTGTGAGTAGACAGAACATAGCTCCACATGACCAAGAAAAGGGTGAAAGATACCTCTTCTCTTAAGCCATTGAGAGTTTTAGTTATTTGTTGTTACAATATAACCTGAAATGTCCTGATGCTTATGGTTAGTGTGCTGTAATTCATAGTCAGATAATTGGAAGAATGATAAACCCCCTGTATTCATTAGGAGGCAATATTTATACTATTATGTCTCTTTCTTCTAATTCTTTTGCCAACCTCCCTAATTTTGTTGCAGTTAACACCCTCACAATCTCCACAACTAACAACTTGTCAAGCAAACTTGAGGTAATGGTTGATGGCCTGTGTCTTCTCTCCCAACTGTATTTTTTCCCTCGTGTCTACATTTGAGAGTGTCAATAACGCATTCTTCTCTTAGGGTGTTTACATTTGTAAAGATGATGTCTGAAAAGAGTGTTTTATCTAAAATTCATTAATGATCATGCTCAGCTTTAGGGTGCTACAGTGAGGGAGGGCTTGTTTGTGAAAAGCAGGTGTTCTCAGATTTTGCTTATTAAATCATGTTGGTTCTTAGCACTTGATACATTTCAGAGTAGCTGTGATAGTCTGGCCTCTAATTCTTTGGTGGGCTGAATGGATTTATAATTGTGTTGAGCACTGATTTCTAGAAGGGCAAGGAAGTAATTTCTGGAAGTGCATAGAGATAAGAGGTAGAGGTAGAAATAGCACCAAGAATATGCCCCAGGTAGACATAGCTTTTCTACATCATCTTTCCACTGATTAAAAAGTTTCCATTATATGACTAAATTCCTCCTAAATACTCAAAATCACAGCATGTGAGAGTGGAGTTGGGCAGGACACAGGCGGAAAAAGAACGAAGTTAAGGTCTGGAGAAGTGCATTTTAAACTCAGCACACTTGAATGTGAAGTACAGGAATCCTTTAATTGGAATAAAGGATAAAAACTATTAGGTGAGGCCTCAGGCAATTTGATGGTAACGATGAGTAATTTCAGTAGCTGGCACATGCTGGCTTACATGGCAAGGTCTGCTGTGCGGTGTTGCTGTGACAGAGGACAGTTTAAAGCTGTAGGATTCAGGGGGATGAAAGTGTGTTGTGATGGACACTAGCCAAAATCTGCTTCACAGTTTGTTTATTTATTTATTTATTTAGTCCTGGTATGGTTATCCTGAAAAATCACCTTAAAGGTCAAAAGCTGCCGTTTATATCTGCAATAATTTCACTTAAAAATAACAAATGTTTTTGATCTTGCCAAGTTTCTTGTGCCTTCAAAATGAATGTTAATAGGCTAACTAAAGTTTACATATCTCTTTTTTAGGTGGTTCTTTGGAGCACTCAAAAGAGCAGATGCAGAAAATCAACTGTTGTATTCAAAAAATCAGACAGGTGCCTTTCTAATCAGAGAAAGTGAAAGCCAGAAAGGAGAGTTCGCCCTTTCAGGTAGGGGCGTTGTTCTGTGCGGTTTGGATGTAAGTCTGGGAGGGTGTCCTTACGACTCTGCTGTGTGAACATGTGCGTGCTGATTTTAAACTTTGCATATTTCTGTCCTCCACAGTAGCTACTGAACTGCTCAGGAATAGTATACAAATTAGAAAATTATTATCTATGTCTAGAAGTCTACAAATAGTCTCAAATACATGTATTTTACTTATGAAACAAAAAGCACATGAATACGGCTACATTTTCTTGATTTTGCATTTTTTAGGCTCCTTTAGGGAATGATAAGTAAGCAGCAAAAAATTCACTGCTGTCAAAATTGATCTTTCTGAGATGATTTCTTTTTCTCTTCTTCCTTCCGCTTCCCTCCCCTCCCCTCTGCTCCTTCACTCCTTTCCTCTTCCTCCTCCTCCTCTCTTTTTTGCTGTTTTGCTTATCTACTTGGTAAATAGAAAGTGAATCAAAATGTGGAATGCAAATACATTTAATTAACTCCTTTTTCAACTGAAGGCCATGTTCATGTTTATATTGCCTTAGGAGACCATGTGAGTGCTGTAGCTTTTAAAAATCTGCCTTTTAGGTATATTTTGTAATGCTCTCTACACTAGTCTATCTCTAAAGCATGACACTTTCTCTTTTATTGCCCTGTTCTAATCTCTGCATTGTATGAACCTCTTTCTTTTTCTTTTCTTTTCTTTTCTTTTCTTTTCTTTTCTTTTCTTTTCTTTTCTTTTCTTTCTTTCTTTCTTTCTTTTTTTTTTTTTTGTCTTTGCTTTTGAAATCAGGATCTTGGTATGTAGTTTAGGCTGGCTCTGAACTCAGGGCAATCCTTCTGCCTTGACTGCCTGAGTGCTGGGATTACAGATTGCACCACACCCTGCAGTAAGGGCATGCTATGTGTCATCATCCTCTTTAAACATTTACTCTGTTTCTCTAAGTAGATATGAATCTTGTGGGAAGAGACGTGGCTCCTCTTTATTGTTATACAGTGAGTGTTTACCGTACATGATGTTCATGGGCCTTGTGTCTGCAGGCTTGGAGTGAGGGCAGCTTCCATGGTGCCATGTTAAGGAAGGGCCAGAGCCCGCACAACAGGAACCCTGACCTGGCCTGAATTCTGGCCAGTTGTGTTATGTGGCACCTGTTATCGTACCACACACAGTGGTCCCAGTACAGATGGGTTAGAGCTGGAGAGAATCATTGGCAGTGCTGTAGGGGCACGTTTTCAGAGGGGCTCCACTTACTTCAGTCCCTGCCTATTCTGGCATTGAATCAGTATGATAATCTAGAATTCTATGGATTCAGCTTCACTCCTACGTAGCTCTATGGATAAGCAGAAAATGCTATGCTATCATTTTTTATTTCTGAATTGTTCTTGTTTGAGGCACACTGTCCTTGAACTCCCTTGAATTTGCAATCCCGTGCCTCAGCCTCCTGAGTGCTAGTATGAATTGTGCCTACACATGATATGTCTCTGACCCTTTAAATGTTTTTATAACCATAGTGGTAATCAAAATATTTAATGATGGACATTATCCACTGAGAACATTTAGGTTAGGACTTCACGCTAGTGTACATTGTCTCCCTAGTGTAAGAACCTGAAAGAGTGAACAATCTGAAAGGTACAATAGGTACTGTGAGAGGGAAGAAGCTGTTTAAAGAGAAAGAACAACTGGGATGAGGGAAAAGAGAAAGAGGGAAGGGAAAATTTATTTTTTATATAATATAAAGTAGCTTGGATAATTGTACTGCTAATTTCTACCAGTCTATTTTAAGGAATAGTTAATGCATATTTCTTTTCTTTCTTCTTTTTATTTTCTTAAAAATCTATTTATTTGTTTATTTATTTGGTATGGGATCTCACTACGTAGCTCAAACTGGTAGTGAACCTCCTGTCTCAGCATTTCCAGTGCTGGGATTACAGGTCTGCACCCCACACCTGGTTTGGGTGGCTGGCACAGCTCAGAAGCCGGCACAGCATGGGTCCCAGGGATTGAACCCAGATCCTTGCACTTGCTAGTCAGGCACTTAAACCACTGAGCTATCTCCCTAGCCTCTTCCTTGTAATTTTTTGAACAATTTTGCATACATACATCTGGTAATCTGAACAAGTAATTTGAAACCAACAATATGAAATACAACAACCATTTTTGAATTTCTATCATTTTGTCTAATGAAATTGTGTATCATTTCTATTGCCTTTTTTTTTTTTTACTATTTTTATTCTCATTTTAAAAAGAAAAAAATAAATTTAAGTGAGTTAAGTATGTAATGTAACTTTTTCTTAAGAATTAAAAATTTACATAAGCAGAATAGGTAAAAGAAAAAAAAAACCTAGATTATCATTCCCTGAAAGTATTTTAAAAATATTTAAGTATTTTTCTTTTCAGGCTTTTTTTTTCTATACTTGATCTGTACTTATGTACACATACATGAATATATAGTCAGACCTCCCAATAATAAAACAAAATTGAGATCATCTTATAAATAATGAAATATATATGTGTGAACACTGTTTGAAACAAATATATAAACAAAGAGCTATGTGTGTATGCATAATATAGATCTGTGTTTTTAAAATTTCCATCTTGCACTAACCTAGGAACTTTTTTTCAGAAATGGGGGCTTGCGAAATTGGTAAATTCCCTGGGGAAGGCTCAGATTTGTGACCCTTGTGCCTCAGCCTCTCAAAGTATATCGCCATGCTTAGATTCCTGGGAGAATTTTTGCATTTCTTTTAATGTTTTCCTACACTGTTAATTTTGGAATCCATGTAACTTTCCATTATATTTGATTTATTTCATACTTTGTCCATCTTTGTTATTTTCAATTATTATATTGTTATAAAATATGATACAGTAGACATCCTTGTAGATTTGCATAATATATAGGGGTAGAAATTGAGTCTTTTTGAAATTTCTGTAAGAGAATTCCATCTTTAAATGCATCCACATTTGTTTATTTGCCTTTGTTAATACTTATATATCAAATTAGGTGGCAGGTATTTACCCAAAAGCTAGATTATATGAGTTGGATTAGCATCAAAATATAAAAGAATACTGTTTCTATGAAGAAAACAAACTAAAAGTACAATTAGCTGACCTATATATTTGGATAATGCTTGGGTAACAGTGACTATTCAGAAAACTAAGAAGAAATCTAGCAGTAAATCAGCTTTACAGGTTTAGAACAAAATTACAAGGATATTGGCTGTTATATGCAGTGAATAATCTACAGCTTTATTATGGATGTAGAAAGCTTTGTAGGCCTTGCTTGGAGAGTAGCACATCATTATGGATCCTTTTTCAATGAAGTAAAACAATTTAGAATCTTTCAAATAAATTATCTGATTGCTGTGTATTCATTAGGGCATAAAGCAAGCACATCATATTATATCACTTTGAAAGAAAAGTTTTCTTATTCATGGCAGAAAAAAGCTATGTGGGAAAAAAATGGCAAGAGAAGGTCTTCAATGTATCTCTATTAAATGAACAAACATGCATCTAATTGCTGACTGTTGATAATCACCACAGCTCTTCAGATGAACCAGTCATGGATTTATTTGCTAGTGCAGTTGTCTCCTTAATCAGTCAGAATTGATGTTCTTCAATTTTGCTGACTGCTGTGGTGCTAAAGGAAGGCAAATAATCTCCTTTTGCTGTCTCTGTCTTTCCCACTAGTTCTTCCTTAGAAGTGTTGTCTTTATTCCTTGGGCAGCAATGCCCCTTACAGCAGTCAGGGAAGAGCTCTGTGAGAAGGTGTGATTTATTGATGCTGGGGCTCTGGGGAGAAGCAGAAGCCTAGGGTAGGGTGGGTGCTAATTGGGTCATTGTGATCCTTGCATGGCTGTCAGTGCTTGTGAGGGCCGAGTAGATCACAAAAAGAGCTAGGGCCATGACATCTCTCATAAAGGCAAGACGTTAATTAGCTGAGAATTACAGCAGCACTTTTGGATATTACATAGTATATGTTGTAGCTGGAGAATCTGTCTTCATTAGATGCATGACAGGTAGTTTTAGTGACCCAGTTGTTATTTGTCATTGGAAGTGAATTGTTTTTCTGGTGAAAATACAAAATTCTGCCTTCATGTCAACTTGTTGGGCTATTTCTCAACACCAATTACTAAAAGGGAAAGTGTTATGGTGTTTGCTATTAATAATTTGATATTTGGTGTCCCATAAAGTATTTATATTATTGTTTAAGGTAGGTAGATAAAACTGAGCTCCAGGTGAGTTTCTCAGAAAAGACTGCATTATACATTGTAATTTTACTGTAGAGGATTCTACATATAAAAACCCAAGATAGCAGAGCTGGTGCCACTCCAAACTTAAGAACTTATGGAAAGAAGCAGTTAATGCTTTAATTTGTTTTGTATCTTTTTCTTTAGTTGTTTTTCCTTTTTGTTTTCTTAGTTTCTTATACTTTTCTTTCTTTTCTTTTTCTTCTTCCAATTTTACATGCATATATCAGGCCATGTGAATGACTGGTTGAAAGACAACTCTATGTACTACAAAAATACTGTGAAATTAATATTATTTTGTTAAGTGAAAATATGTATCTCTTGTAATTTTTTCTGTTCTAATTCAAATTTGTACTCTCTTAAAAAAAAGAAAAAGAAAAAGAAATAACTTAGGAGAACTCTGCATGGCTTGCAGGACCCAAAAGAGCTATGATCTGTGGGCCTAGTTCCACAGGTGCGGCACTCTCCCGATGCCATTTAAGAACTTTGGCAGAAGGTCACTAAATGCTTTCTAAGGAAAAACTGCAGCCTGCAGGATTCTGAGAAGCTCTGACCTTCCTAAGACCTCAGCGCACAGGCGTGGGGCTTCTGCTGGTAGCACTCCAAATGTTAAGAACTTAGGAGGACTGTGAGTGACCTGCGAGATGCAGGGGAGCTGCAGTCAGTGGGCCCAGTGTGCACAGGTGCAGAGCTTTCCCAGAGTCATTTAAGGACTTTGGCAGACTCTGGGCAGCCTGTGGGACTCTAACTGGGTGATTATTGG